CATGGAAGGGGGCTGAACATTTCTTTACCAGTTAGCTTTTTGGGTATTTGAGTAGGAAGGCAGTTTGGTGTTTCATTCCAAGTGGAACATGTCAATGTGCTGAAATTAATATTCTAACTTGAGATTTGTAGAGAATTAGAATAACATTTTTATTAGAAAAAACACAGAAGGATGTGTTTCAATGACACATTCATTGTCAGAGACTTTACCAGATGTGAAGGTAGAGCTGGGCCTTTTCCCTGCCCTGAGGGTGTTCCAGCACCATCATACCATCCAGCTGAGCCCATCTAGGGAAAAGTTGCACTGGCTCTTGAGGAGATGCACTTGCCCGACAAGTGCACACCCGAGGGCACAGTTGCAGCAGCATGAACTGCCTCTTCTCTGTATCTGGAGAGTGAACAGTGTCTACGGTTGAGGCGGTCCTATTGCCTCGTTCTTAGCTACCCACCCATGAGTAGTACCCACCACCCTCACACCCTCAGTTTCTCTTTTTTCAAGGTAAATTTAGTATATGGAAGTTTCAGCCTATGAAAAAATAAATGAGTTTGCTTTACATGAAACTTGAGACTGATCCAAGGTGGAATATATAGTCTACACAATCACTTCTATTAAGTGATCTTTCTTTATTTGATACCATAAAAGTGTAGACAAGAGGAAGTTATAATAACTTTAAATGTGTAGTCAGGTCAGACATTCTTGTGTTCCAGGAAGGACAGGGAGCGGAATGGTAAAGAAAACTGGGAAGAAGAACTGCTAATAAGACCAAAAAAGGGAAAATGAATTCTGAAGGAAGACCAGTTAAGTCTCAGGAGGCATGACATTGCCTGTGAACTGGAATATTCCAAATGTTGTAGTGACAGCCATTGCTTCATCCCTTCCTCATCAAGAGGCCTCATCTAAATCTGTCCAGGGTTTTGTTTGTTTGTTTTTTTTTTTTTCAGTGACATATTGCTCCTGCCTTCTCTACTCTCCCCATCTCTGTCTTATTCTTTCTCCTCTGTCTCCTCCTCCCTCTTCCTTTCTCCTTTCTTTTTCTCCTTCCCCCCTCATTTCCTCTTTCTTCTTCCCTTTCTTTTCTTTTCTCACTCTCTCCCTTCTTCCCTCTCAGTGTCAGATACTATTCTGGGCACAGAAATGATGCACTGCAATAACCTATGAGGTCTCTTTGTCACCCTGTGTTAAAAAAGCCAAAAGGCAACTGGCATAAAGAGGTTAAATTATTCTCCCAATATGACTCAGAGCATAGTAGGTATGCTTCAAGGTCCTCTGATAACATCACTTTTCTACTTGATTGTCTTATCTGATATCCTATCTCAACTTACACAACATGATAGATATCAAATGGCCCCTACCTCACTCCCCAAACATATTACCAAACATCTCCCCAACTCTTCCCATTCCCCTGAAGGCCCCATGTTATGGTAGTATCAGAATACTCTTTCCCAAACACAAATGGCCTTTTTCTTTTTTTTAAAGTTTATCTATTTATTGAGAGAGAGCGCATGTAGGGGAGGGCAGAAAGAGCAGGAGAGAGAATCCCAAGCAGGCTCACACTGTCAGCATGGAGCCTAACATGGGGGTCAATCCCATGAAATGTGAGGTCATGACCTGAGCCGAAACCAAGAGTCAGATGCTTAACTGGCTGAGTCACCCAGGTGCCCTAACAAATGGCCTTTTACAACTCTCTGACACATGCTTATGATGTAACACCCTGTTTGCTTTGTCCTATTCTTCATTGCCTAAAACTCCCACTCATCCTTCAACACCCAGACTAGTTCTGTGAAACCTCTCCTGACATTCACAGTTTGAACTAATTAGTCCTTACTCTGAATGCCCACAGAAAAATGCTCACAGTTCCATTATACCATGTATTACATTGTACTGGCATTATTTATTATATATTTGTCCTACCCACTGGTTTCTGAAGTCCCAAGGAGAAGAAATGGGGCACTATTTACTGGCAAACCCTGTGCTTGCCTCCTAGCATGTGTTTGGTGTAATAAGGGATGTGTATTATGCAAAAAACAGCATCACCAGTGTGCGAGCTGTATACCATGACATCTGTAGCATTGACCTTCAATATAAAAGGTTTAGAACTATATGTATTTACTGTCTTAAACAAATGCTTCATATGAAAATCTGCCTTTATACAATTTTAAATTGGTTTACAAAAGTTTTGCTTTTCAATTCCTCTAAATCAGGAGCTCTGCTAGTGTTTTAAATATGCCTTGATTTAGGAAAATGTGACATGCATGTACTTTTCAAAAATACTTTTATTATGTAAAGGGAAATTCATTCTCTATCTCTCCTTCACACACGTAGACACATTGGAATGGCAAACTAGTCCATGATTATCTTTGAAAAATTGTTATAGTATACAACTTTGGGTTAATTGTTTTTGGTAGTTTATTTATATTTATAAAAAGCAAGTGTCCTTGATCAATATAAATTCAATGACTATATTGCAGGAATTGTCAATATTATTCTACCTTATCCAATATTATATCATATAGTGTATGTGTATACGAAATACACATATAGTTATCCTACATATATTGACCTCTACCAATATCTGACTTCTTTCACTTTATTTCTAAATTCAAGCATATTTCTTTGGATAATGTTATTCGGATGTCAAATATTTTCTTAAAATGATGCATAAACATACACATATATATGTGTTGTAAGGGTTGCATATGCGTGAATATATATTCACTCTATATATAGTCCATTCTAATATATATTAGACATGCATTTACATATATATTTATAATATGTACACCACATATACATCCACAAATATGTATATATGTATACTTTATATATCACGTGTGTATATATACATTTATGTGCACACACACACACACAGAATGTGTGTGTATACAGTTGTCTCCCCTAATCCAGAGGGGCTACTTCCAAGACTCCCAGTGGGTGCCTGAAGCCACAGATAATGCCAAACCCTACATATACTGTTTTTTCCTATATATATATATATACATATGATAAAGTTTAACTTATAAATTAGGGGCAATAAGAAATTAATAATAAATAAAATAGAACAATTATTACAGTATACTCTAATAAAAGTTCTGTGCATGTGGTCTCTCTCTCTCTCTGAAAATACCTTACTGTACTATACTCACCCTTCTTATGATGATGTGAGATGATAAAATGCCTATGTGCTGAGATGAAGTGAGGTGAATGACATTGACATTGTGATGTAGCGTTAGGCTGCTATTGACCTTCTGATGATATATAAGGAGAATCCTCTGCTTCCAGAGAAGAATGATTGATTGAGGGTAACACTGAAACCATGGCAAGTGAAACTATGGATAAGGGGGAAACTAGTCTCTCACAGAGAGTGAGACAGAGTATATACTGTGTGTGTGTATGTGAGAGACAGACAGAGAGGGAGAGAGATCATACACATACACATTATATGGTCCATTATAGTCCACTGTTAATATACAGATTCCGTATTCTTTGAGGCCAGCTAATGATTTTCAGATAATGAGACTGAATGGTACATCTGAATATTCTGGACCAAAGAGTGTTAATGCAGCCACCACACTGCAAATGCTCTTAGCCAGTGGAACGCTCTGTCATGAAATCCTGAGTGGAGTATGTTCTGCAAATTGTGTTGTTTACTCTGTTGGGATCTCTCCTGTCATTTATTTTGTGCTCTGGTGGACAATTTTGAGTCATAATGACTGACAAATTGTGCAAGCGATAGTGCTGGGTCTGTCATAAAGAAACAAAGAAGGAGCATTAAGCTGGAAGTTAAAATGCACTGTTTTACCATGGCTTGAGGCTTCTTTGAAGAAAATGGAAACCGTGTTAAAGATTAGTAGGCCCATGGGAGCTAGTTCAAGTCTTTTGACATTAGGAAAGATATTATAGGTATCCCTTCAACCTGAGAGAATTGACCGGGTATGGTCAGGTATGTCAGGACTTAAAGGATTTCAAGAGAATTATGATTGGCAGCACAGTACCTCCAAAGAGATTTTGTTAAAATGAACCCTAAAATATTGATCCATCATGTGTTTCTAGGGTCCTTCTCTCCCATCCATCCCCCCCTTCCCTCTGCTCTCCAGTTAAACAGAGTATGCTTGTCTATTGCTTTGTATTCATTTAATTTTATTATCCAATCCTTACTTCAAATTAAGATATACTAGATTTAGGTTTTATGTGTTTCTTGCTTTCACTAGTTTTTTCTTAAGTGAGAAAGATAGTCATGATTTTATTTTCATTTGAAACATTTTTTTCCTTAAATAGAGAAACATTGACTCAGCTGTACATTAGAATCAATATCCAGGGGCAGGAAAGAGCAACAGCCATTTGAAAGGTCCCCAGGTAACTCTAATGCACAGCCAGGTTTAAGGATCACTACTCAGTAGAAGATATATGTCTACTTATCATCTAAGGGGTTGATATTTCACTTGGAACACTTTCAAACATATGAAAACCTTCCCCAGATGACTGATTATTTTACACTATTTCCCTCTTCCCCAGTCGAGAATTAGTTTTCAAATGAATTTTGATAATGGCATCTGACAGTTTGGCCCAGAACTCTCCAGTGGGAGGGATATCCTATAAAGACTGTGGGTTTTGGTGCTCATTTAGAGAATAAATATTTATTGAGTTTGCATGGAATGACTTTCTCTACACCAACTCTGTCCTTTCCCTTGAATGTTGAATTAGGCTTGCTTTTTGAGGAGATTAAAGTGGATTCTCCTAAAGCCCAGATATCTCTATAGTTGACAAGGGATGATGGGGTAAAGATCCAGAAGTTCTGTCTACTTAGGAAAATCAGGAAGCTTAGCAACTATCAGAGGGAAGCTTTATGGCACTGCAGCGGGTGAAGCACACAGGTGCCTTCAGTAATGATTAACTTGAGTCTGAGTTGATGCTCCATGATGGAAAATGACAGCACCCGTGTGAAGCTTCGGCACTACTTTCTACTCTGAAATCATACAGAAAATGCTTGTTTTTCTCTATAGGTTCGAACCAGTGCCCTACCTGAACACAAGGATCCGCTGCCAGAGGTTGGGGTAAGTGTTTCTTATTTTTCCAAAAGGCACACATCACTTCTAAGTTAAATCATTTGGATTCTCGCTGGCCTTCTGCCGTCCGATGGCTGACAAATGAAATTGCGTTAAATTAAGAGTGCCACCCTGCAAGGGGGCACTGTCGTGTATTTGGCCAATTGTGTAGAGTTCATTTCTTGTCTCTCGAAAATCATCCTCAGATGAACTCATAATTAGTTTCACCGGCTAGAGATGAATCTAGACATTGACCTGCAGGGAGCTGGGATGCAATTTGGAGGCAACATTCCTGGGTCAGCAGAAGGCCGGGCAGATTGCTGATGCGGGCTCTAAGGTTTCGGGAAGGAGGCATGGAACTAACTAGCCAAAAGACTGGTGTTTTCTGCTTTCTGCTGCTTGAACACTGTAATGCAGGTCAAAACAGTAGCTGCCACCAAAGTGCAGACCAGTGTTACAGAATTCCTGCTGCATCGGAGCCATCGCATCTGCAGCTTTTAAAAATTGGAAGAGTGGAGAGATAATAGGTCCTTTTTGCTTAGACAAGCCTAGGGTAGGTGATGGCAACTCCTCAAAAGAGAGCCCAGCAGGCCGAGTACCTGGCATCTGTGCAGAGAGGATGAAAAAGCCTCAAAATAAGTTGAGTCTAAAGAGGCCATGGGACTGAGTCAACTGAAAGCCCTATTTGAAATTCCCAGAAATCCTACAGGCAATTGACAACCTTCTTCCAGTTGATGTGTGGCACAGTGTACTATATATATCCCGATCATTTCCTCACTGGCAAGAGCCACTATCTGAACCTGCCAAGGAAGCCCTCCAAATATGTGCACCAAAGAGTGAGTTGAATTGATAGAGAAGAATGTCACTCATGTCTGACATTCTGATCTTGAAGGAGAAGGAAGCAGGCACTGTGTGCTCTCTCATGCCTAACACAAGCTTCTGGTTTCTTCCTGGGATAGACTGTTCTCTTTGACTCAAGTGCATCTTCATGCTTTGTTTTCTGCCTGTTTCTTCAAACATCCTGTGCTGCTCAGACTATGCGTTTAGTTTCTCAAGAGTGATTAGCCAGTTCTTCCCAGCCTGAGGCCCTTCATTGCTGCAGGCCCCGGGACCCTTGCCCTGCCTGGTGCTGTTTTTCCCCTGCTTAGGGCTTAGGACTCAGTTCACAGCCTTTGGCCTCGGACCAGCCCAGGTGCACTCCTTTTAACCGCAATCTCCATTGCAAGCCGTCATCGCACCCTTCATACCACCTTCATAGAATATGACCTTTTGAAATTTTAACTATTAACTGAATGAATTATTGTATAAGGAATTTTATTTATCTTTTGAGATTCAAGAAAGATGAGCTAGTTTAGTTTACTTTTCCTTCTCTAACTGTTCATCCATCCCCACAACTGCTCAGTGTTAAATCCCCCTTGCTTGAAGCTTTAATGACATCGTGGCCTAATTATGTAAATTTCTCTGTTTTTTCTCTCATTCAAGTTCTTGAAATACATCATATTCATTTTAAAACTTGAATTCCTTCTCTGATTTTGGTTGTTTTCTTCTCCCCGCTCCGCCCATCATTTCCCACTATGGGGTAGACATCTCTGTGCTTCTAGCAACTTGTAGTAGAGGGGGAGCAAGTCTGATTCTCACACAGGTCCTGCCCTTTCCTCCTCTTACTGCTCAGCGCTGTGGCAAGGGGAAAGGGATGGGGAGAGGTTCCTTCTGTGCTTGCCCATGGTGAGGTTGTGGTTCCCTTTCTGCTGGTTTTGATATTTCTCAGGCTAGTGCTGCCCATTAGCATGTGGCAGACATTGAAGTGCTGTCTCATAAGCACAACTCTAGGTATTTCTGGAGGCCCTGGAGGTCCCTTCCCGTTGCATAGTTCCCTCCCATGGGGAGTCTGGCTCTGGCTCAACCTTCTCCACTGCCCAGGCTCACCCTGTATGCTCTTGCTGCCGAGAGCTACTTTTCTAGCATGTAATGTGTACTCAGCTGCTTACAGTGCTCTTTGGCCCAGATGAAACACACATATATTTTCCATGCCACACAGAAGGGACGCAGCCTACCTGACTGAGGTGTTCTCTCTCTGCTCAGCCATCTCTCTCCTGACTCTTTCTATAAGCCCTACAGTCATCAGATGCTAGACAGTCCATGATTTTCAAAAGAGAGACAATCTCCAATTCCTGATATAGTGGAACGAAAGATGGTTTGGACACCCACAAGCTTGATAGTTGATTTTTCGGGACCAGACTCTGTGACTTTTTTTTTTTTTACTTTTTAAATGTTTATTTATTTTTGAGAGAAGAGAGTGCAAGCAGGGGAGGGGCAGAGAGAGAGACAGAATCCGAAGCAGGCTCCAAGCTCTGAGCTGTCAGCACAGAGCCTGACACAGGGCTTGAACTCATGAACCACAAGATCATGATCTGAGCTGTAGGCAAAGCTTAACTGACTGAGTCACTCAGGCACTCCTCCCTTGACTTTATGATGTCTTCCTGAGTATGATATAACAAAGATATTAGGCTCATTTCTTAAATAGTACACCTTCTGAAATGCTCACCTTCCCTCTCTGCTAATACTACCTTTATATCAGCTGAGTGTGTTATGGCTACTAATAGGCCAGTTTCTGTAAACTGGCTTATTTTTAAGCATTGCGAGGAGATTGCTAGCTCAGACCACAAGAAATTCTCTGAACTGATACTATGGTGCATTTGGTATAACGTCTCTGTCAAAGACTCATCTATAATTCCTGGGTCAAAATAAAATTCTCAATTGACATTCTGTGACATGCTTATTATATTCATTAGGCATGCATTCAGAAGCAAGTAACCTGACCAACAGTGGCTTAAAAGTAACAGACTCGGGGGCGCCTGGGTGGCTTAGTCGGTTAAGCGTACGACTTTCGCTTAGGTCATGATCTCGCGGTTCGTGGGTTCGAGCCCCGTGTCGGGCTCTGTGCTGACTGCCAGCTCAGAGCCTGGAGCCTGTTTCAGTCTGTGACTCCCTGTCTCTCTGACCCTCCCCTGCTCACGCTGTCTCTCTCTCCTGGAAATAAATAAAACATTAAAAAAAAAAATTTTTAATTAAAAAAAAAAAAAGTAACAGACTCATTTTTCTCATGGTAGAAAAAGTTTTGGGGAAATTACCCAGGACTGCAGCTACTCAAAAATGACTTCGAGCAACCACGTTCTATCTACCTTGCTGCTCCTCCTTTGTTAGAGTATTGTCCAGTCTAACCATTGCGCCTCCAGTGATCACAGTCCAGATGGGGAGAAGACTGAAGGACAGAAAGCAGTGGATCCTGTTGCTTCAATTCTGGGAAACAATCACTTTGGGGGGAATTTCAAGTAGAATACTGATACATACCTATCGGTGAGAAGAGAGGAGTCCCTAAGCAGAAGAGAATCTCAGTACAATTCCCATTTAAACAAAATCAAGGTACTATTAGTAATGAAAAATGAGCAGAATAGGTATTACGTATTAGTAATGTCTTCCCTCTCCCCTACGTGTTAAAGCCCATGATAGCAAAGAGCCTATTTATTTTGTTCGCTCGAATAGCCCTACCTCTGTGCCTGGAAGCTAGTAAATTATGATATATATATTGAATGAATTAGAAAGTATACTATGATTTTGTTTTGCCAACCATCTTAAGTTTTTTAGAACCACCAGAATAAAAGGAGGGAGACATCTAAAAATAATTCCAATAATATGTAAATTGTAATAATACGTGAAAATCTAGTATACTTTATGACACATCAGAACTCAATAAAATGGCATTATATTATAGAACTACATCTCAAGCACAGTGAGAATGAGCCTAAATAAAAAAACAAGTTAGCATGCTGTGCCATTTCTAATACCCTCAGAGTACAAGATATTCCAGATAAAGAAGAATTACCACATCTTGAGCACATATGAGGTACCCTTGGGTAATATATATCTTGTCAATTAATCCTCAGAATATTGCTTTGGACACTGCAAAATGTGTCTGAGAGTTTTAGCTCTTGTCCAAGACTCGGTTCTGCCATTACAATGCGCTAAGGACTCTAACCATTGACTACTCTGGTTAAAAAATGAGCTGAAATCTATTATAAATAGTCCAAATATGTTCTATTCATTTGTTCTATTCATTTCTTTGCATTCTTACGCAGCATCTTTTGGATGCACCCAGATCTTTTGTTGATATCTTAGTGAACCAGATGCCAATCTGTGCTAAGACCTTTTGGGTTATATTCATAATGAAGATGGTAATTTTTAAATGTATGATCGCTCTTACCCTAAAGTGCTTTTTTAAAAAATTTTTAAATGCTTATTTCTGAGAGAGAGAGCACAAGGAAGGGAGGGGCAGAGAGAGAGGGAAACACGAATCTGAAGCAGGCTCCAGGATCTGAGCTATCAGCACTGAGCCCAACTCACAAACTGTGAGATCGTGACCTGAGCTTAAGTCAGAAGCTTAACTGACTGAGCCACCCAGGTGCCCCTAAAATCCTTTTTAAAGTTTTCTTTGGACTGTTTATCAACTATTAATAAACTTCCTTCCAAGTTTTATTTTTCTTTCTGATGTCTTGTTTTTAGTGTGAATAGTTCATGTATCCTCTTTCCCTTTCTATTTGATGGGAGCCCATGTAACCATATCTGTTAGGGTGACAGTGAAGAAAAAGTACATGCAATATGAAAAAGGGCCTGTACTGTAAGTTATGTCTGGGAGATGTTGTGCATTGGCCTCATGATGTCAACTTCAAAGACCCTTTAAATCTTGTACCACAGTTTTTACATATAGTTTTATAAGAATAGGCCAAAGTATTATTGATACTTATTATTGATATATTCATTTAACTTCTAAACAATCCCTTTTTAATGGAAATACTATATGTGTTCAAATGTGTGCCACATATATCATTCTGAATTTTCTGGTAGACCATGCTCTTAAAAAAGTAAAAAGAAATGGGCAAAACTAATTTTAATATTTTATTGAACCCAATATATGCAAAGTATAATCAATACCTGAAATTATCAATGCTATATTTCAGTTTCTTTTTTCATACTATGTTGCATAAATTTGATGTATATTTTACACTTAACAGCACATCTCAATTCTGAGTAGTCACAAGCCTAATGCTACCCGTTGGATAGTATTTGGAACAACTTGGGGAGACCTTGTGAATTGTAGTGTAAAGAAAACCTATACTTCGAGTAAAGGCTTTGTGAGATGAACATAGGTGATGGAGGTGTGGCCAGCTCACGGCAAGGTGTATGAGGGGGTACATCTTCTGGCTCTTTATATAGGACAACCGGAGTCCCTGCAAGGGCTGGTAGGATAAACTGTTGATTTGTACACTCTCTGTGGAGAGCAACCAGGGATTGAGGCAGACGCCCCACTTGTTCCCACCCTGCTTGATATCACTCTCCAGCCAGGTGAGTGGTTGAAATTGTGCATCAAGCAATTTAATGATTATCTGCTTTGGGTGCTTGCACCAGAACGATCATTGTGAGCATTGCACTCTCATGAGTAGGCAGAAAAGGTCAGAGCCACATATTGTGCAGGCAGAGAGCCTGGCAGAGGGAGAGGGAATTGCCACCTGTCCTGGAAATAAGGCACAGCGTGATGGAGATAAAAGAATGATGGACTGAAAAGCAAGAAACCTGGATTCCAACTTGGCCTCTGTATGTTAACTAGTTCTGGGACCATGTAGAAGCCAGGGAACTCCCTTAAATTCCTATTTTCCCAGCAATGTACTAAGTGCTTTTCCTGGATTACTTTTATTCTTATTACAATAGCTATGAGAAAGATTTATCATATGCAACTTTTTCATACAGCCATTAAGGCTGTGAGTGGTGGAGTAACTCATTCGAGACCACAAATTAGTAAGAGAGAAGACAGAATAACAAGGCCAGACAATACCCATTAGTGGATAGCCAGTCTAGCGGCTGGGAGAAGTGACTTAATTGCCCAGATTTCCATTTCGGGGCAGAGTAACTGATTTAATATGACATTTTAGACCTCTGAGCTCCAACTCCAGTGAGACTTAAAGTTTTTTGTTTGTCTTTCAGATTTTTCCACTGATATTAGAGCTCTAAGTTTAAAACCTTTAAGATGAGAATTTTAGAAACAGCACTGAAGAAGAGGTGGAAAAGCTTGTTCCTTACGTTATATTTGAAATATAAAAGTTTTTAAAGAACTTTCTCGCTAAGCAAATTAAGCCAGAGAAAAAGAAATGCCGTATGATTTCACTCATATGTAGAATTTAAGGAACAAAACAGATGAACATAGAGGAGGGGGAGGGTGAAAGAGAGGGAGGCAAATCATAAGACAGCCTTAAGTCTAGAGGACAAAGTGATGGCTGATGAAGGGAAGTAGGTGGGGGATGGCCTGGATGCGTGATGGGCATTAAGAGTTGTGTTGAACACTGGGTGTTGTAAGTGATGAATCACTAAATTCTACTCCTGAAATCAACATTACACTATATGTTAACTAGCTAGAATTTTAAAAAACTTGAAAAAATAAAATAAAGAATTCTCTAAAATTCTATAGTTATGATTACAGTGACAGCAAAGATAAAATAGCTTTATACTAAGTTATTTTTTTATTTTATTTTATTTTATTTTATTTTATTTTTTTTTTACAAATAGTTTATTGTCAAATTAGTTTCCACATAACACTCAGTGCTCATCCCCAAAGTGCCCCCCTCCATGCCCATCCCCCCTCCCCCCCACATCAATTAGCTATTTTCCCTCTATGGGGATTTAGGTTTCAGAAACAGAGAAGACTATTTTCCTCTACTCTACTCTTTTACAAGAGTAAAAGAGTAATGATGTAATGATGTGTTTTTTTTTTATATTGATGTGAAGCAAATACATACAAACCTGCTAGAAACTAAATATATAGGCAATTCCATTGTTAGCATTGCAGTACGGAACAGTTATACACTGTCTTCAAGAATTTCATTAATGTAGTCCCCATATACAGTGATTTGTAGAATAAATAAGATATTTATACCTAAATAGTACCTCCTCTGGTTTGACTTGTTTTCATAACACAGTACTATAATGTCGTTACCTAAATTAGTTTTTAATAAGTTGTATGATTTCTATAAAATCCCGTATCCTTTGAGAAGAAGCATGTGGCAGCCAGTTATGATGGGAAAGTTTGACTCATGGGCATTTTTCCTGGCCCACTTCAAGCACTTACAGTGAAGCAGGAGGCATACCAGACAGCCCTCTGTTCTGGGCACTGGGCGTGGCTCAAAGATGGACACACCAAAGTCTTCCTTCCACAGGATCTCCTGATCTGTGGACAGATAAGACATTCAGTGGCTGCGGTCACAAACTTTCCTTGCAGCTGTGGCTCATGGTGTGTGTTGTAGCTCTTGTATGAAAATAGCTACTCCACCTGTCTCTCATTGCTACATTCCAGTCTGGAGCATTTGCTCCTTTAATTGATGAAGAGGCCATGGTAACATTCATGGCACGTGAAGTTTGTGTTTTTAATTCCAAAAACATCCTATACCTTCAAAATCTCAAAAGGTAGAGAGAAAATAATTTGAAATTTTGAGGGATCATGAAATCTGTCATCAGATTAAGAGTTTTCTTGGGGTGAAGAAGGAGTGAGGAATAGGAATTTAAACACCCTGATAATCAGGGAAAGAGGAAGTGAGATAGACATCTGTTTAAATACAAAAGGCTGGAATGAAATTCACTACAACAATATATAATCTGCACACTAAAACTGTTTTGATTTCCCACATTTCAGTGAATTACAGTACTTTGTAAATATCTGCAGAAAGAACATTCTAATATCCATATCTAATAGAGTGACTAACTTGAAAAGCTAGTTTTTAAGTCAGCCATTCATTCATTTATTGTCAGTAAATATTCATCACATGCCCACAGTGCACTAGTCAGGACCAGTTTGTCTGAAAACAAAATAAAGCTCCTTGAGGAGCTTCAAACATATATATATATATGAACACACACACACACACACACACACACACACACACACACACATCTTAAACTTCCTTTTCTGCTTTGACTCACTCTCATTTCATTACCCATTGATGTATCATCAGACCTTCTTTCCACAAATACTCTATTGTTTTAATGTTTATTTATTGTATATGTGTGTGTATGTGAGGGAGAGACAAAGAGAGACACAGAGAGAGAGGGAGGGAGGGAGAGAGGGAACTCCAAGCAGGCTCCATACTGTTGGTATGGAGCGCGACATGGGCCTCAATCTCTATTTTCACCTGACGTCCTTCACCTAATGATGTAGTCTTGTATTCTTCTGGATTAGGTGACTTGGTGTCTAAGCCAGCTCTTTGAGTTTCAAGTTAATTAATTGGGTTTATTGTTGCTAATATAGAGGCATCTGCAACTTTAGAGCTGAGTTGTATTACAAATGTTTGCATTTGAGTGTTTTGAAAGAATTCTAAGTTAGAGCTTTGAAAAAAGGAAGAAAAATTCTGACCTGAAGCTTTTCTTTCTTACTATGAACAGTAGCTAAATGTGGATGTAGCCCTCTATGTATGAAATAACCACACACTTTACTCAGAAAAGACCCAATTGTCCTCAGACTACTTAAGTCCAGGCTTTCATTCTAGCTCAGCCTGGCAACAGACATATGAAGAGAGAATGCTCTGGAAGACGCAGTTTTGACTTTTTGTAGAGTGTTACAATGTGTGAGGCAGCAATGGGCTAGATAATACTATGGATATGATGTTTTCATGTTTACTTCTTGACCTTGAGGGAAGAATGAGAAATACTATTTATGGTATACCGTAATATTGTGACTTTTAAATCAGAAATAGCCAGAAATATTAAAAAGAGATGAGAGATTTTTATCCTGGAAAAGAAAAACCAATTTAGAGTTTTATTCTTTGCATTATGAGCCAAAGAGTGTAGAAAGTAGATATTCATAGATAGTCAACAGCCAGTATGATAGGTTAAAAAAGCAATTTTAGAAAATGTAACTGAATAAGTACCTTTCTTTTTGGTGTATTGGAATGAAATTGTCCCATGCTAGTATAGAAATAACAAAGGAAACAAATGCTTTTAAACATTGCTGTGATGGGGGAGAAATGTAGCATTTCTATTTATAACTTGTACAGAGTCCCACATAAAAATAGCTCCAACGACCAGATTTGCTCATATCTGGAATACAAAGTTGTTGCTGCCAGTGACTTGAGGAATTCTAATAAGAACGAGGACGGCATTGGTAAATATTGAAAGTTTATCATTTTTTCTTCTACCCTCGGTTTTCCCAGAGGAAAATTAGTGCCTAGAAAAGTCGCATTATACATTTTGTTATGTCCCAGGCTATTGGTCTCTTTGTTTTTAATGAAAAGGATACATTTGCACCCTGGACTTCACCCCCTGAGAAGGATATATTGTTGTATCTGTCAGTGAGGACTGAATCTCTGCAAATGAAATATTTGTCAGGCAAATGGATTTAACATTTCATTCTTTTGAAGACTAGGTTTGTATGATTGGTGTGCTAGTAAAAATATTGAGGACTTCTGAAGTTAATGTGAACCATTCTTTCTTATTTTCAGCGAAGTTTCCTGGGCTATGCCAGTTTTAAAGTGGGAGAGCTACTGAAGTCCAAAGAGCAACTGCTAGCCCTGAGTCTGAGGTGAGTCCTTTGTCTGCAGAAATGCTATAAAGCAAATAGCCTATGGTATTTATTGAAGGGTGGTTGATTTTGAAAGTCCCAATTCTTACAGATGTTTAGATGTCAGCTGTCAAATGGCTTACATTCTCCACAGCAGCAAGTTATAGATTAACAGCAATTATTCAAGTTCAAACTTAGGTTCATGTTCATATTGTCAAAGGTTTTCAGCCCTTAAAGGGAAAAAATGTTTATATGATCATTAAAGTGATCAAATTCATTGATAGTAAGAATAGAAATGATGAGCACGTTATTAAGTAATGTTTCTATTACTTATTAAAGTGTTCCTTTTTAAGTCAAGTAAGTTTCTAGGTTTGAAATATGTTTGTTAGTGGCCACATTGTAAATTTAGGATAATAGAGGAAACATTCATTATTCTCTTTTTTTGAGTTTATTTTGTTGCTATGCTGTTAAATATAAAACATAAGTTAAAACAGATTCATACTGAAATAGACAGTAGATCAGAGCTAATTTTGAGTATGAGTACAATTTGTTTTGATATAGAAGTTACATAGTATTTTAAGAAGTTACATAGTATTTTAATGTTAAGAAGAGTATCAAATAGAATAAACATTTTTAAACTTCATTATAAATTCTAAACAATATGCTGTTTTCTAACTGTATAACTTCTATAATTATGAAAAATATCACCTTGAAATATTTGCCTAGTATAAACAAATATAAAAATTGTATATAACATTATTTGTAAATCAGAAAATGCTCTCCTTTTGATGAAACATAGAGACCACTCTGAGGGAAGAGACAATGCTGTGTTTGCACTCTGCCTCGCTCCCCAAGGACCTACTCGTAACCAATATATTTCAGTAAAGATGCTGTGGCTTATGCTGGAATCTGTACCGCTGGCAGTCTCCTTTTCTGATTTTTCCTGATCCTCACAGTCTTCTATTTTGACTTCAGAGAGTATAAAGTAATATAAAATAAATCATACTCAGAAAAATAAGTGTTAATGGGTTCTGATGAGCCCATTCCTCTTCGTTCTCAGTGATGTCCCTTAAACATCCATGGTTTTGTTGTTGTTGTATTTATTTGGGAACACATTTTAAAATCTTCATAGTTTTGTGGTGTTATTCCAAATAAAATTTTGCTGTGGTTATTTTCAGTTTGAAGTTCGTATGGGTCAGCTAAAAAGTCTAGCTATCAATGTCACCGACAATTTTCTAGAAAATCTGTTGGTGCCCTAGCACGGTGGTGAGATCTCACCTGAGCACTACTGGATTCATGGCATGTGAAGTCAGGTATCAAACAAATTTAGAAATACTGGCAGGCCATATGTTTTTTGAGTAAGACGCATAGCACTTTATTCCTCCTCGTGCTGACTTACAAGCTGTAGTATTGATTATATCATTAACATCAGCACCATACTACACATTTAGACACTGCTCTTGAAACAGAAATGGGGGTCACAAATTCTTAAATGAAAATTAATAAACACATACAATACCTTAGTGGTAGGATAGGAACTGAAGGGTCAAGTTCAGAGTATAACCATTTTAAGAAAAAAAAAAAGAAATTAGAATGATTTCAGATTTAGAAGAAATCAGTACAAATTTCCACTTTTGGTTTTAATATGTCTGCTTAGTACTCATTTGGCTTTGATTGTATAAAAGGAAAAAAATTAACAATAAAGGATTGAGTTTTCTAGAAAAACAATTTTTCAAAAATAATTTTGAAATGGCTAGGTTATTGTTCTTTCCCTTTTCATGCTTTGCCAATTTGTGAATTTCTCTCCCTATGAACTAAATACGTTATAAACTTATCATAGCCTTTTGATTTCTGACACTTCCTCTTTTTTTTACTAAAGAGATAATTCATCTTCTTTCCCCTGGCTCAGGATTTTCCGAGGTACTATGCTGAAAGAACATTAGGTGAAGGATAAGAAGCATTGTTTTTCTGGTTATTTGTTTTGTTTTGTTTTTAATAATTCCTTTGCACTGACAGTATCTGAATTTTGTTGCTTTTTGATTCCAGTCATTACTTTTAAAGCAATAGAATTCTCAGATTTCTGTGAAACAAATTCACAGAAATATGCATACATTTATAGGAAACGTTCTTTGATGATAAGCTTCCAAAAAATCTGTGTAGTTTTGTTTCATTTTTCACTGTCCCTTTGAGTTGTTTCTTATCAGATACTTCTGATTCCAGAACTCTCAAACTAGCTCCACAGAGCACCATAGTTTAATGTGGTTACTATGCCACTTGCACTTTGAACGAGAATTTTTTAACTGAATTTTGAAATGAGTTCTTTTTTCCCACAGAAACTTCAAGGAGCAAGAAGTCTGTGTCTTATTTGTAGATTTAGACTCAAATTTCATGAAATATCATAGAGCCCATTTTTGAAGTTGTGGAATGAAATGTATTTGCATGTATTGGGGGAAATGCCTCCAATATGTAAAGCGGTTCCCACTCCTATAACTCATCCTCATTTAAATACATAGTTACTAAATTACTGCCTGAGTTTTCTAGCATCCCTTTTGGATTTGGTATCTTTATTCAGTGCTAACCCTTTTACTTTTGTATTATATCTCCTTTGTTTTGCTAGTGTACATTTGGTAGTTCCTGTCTCTTCTAATTTCTTTTTGATCTGAATTGTATTTTCTCTCTTTATTCTCCAGTTCGTTGCCATATATCCTTGAGTCTCATACTATAATGTAAACAAGCTAAGGTCCTTGTATAGAAGATTACAAGTGTAGTCATGAAAGACAGTGGATAATTGTATAATAATAGTAGTAATAATAATAAATAGAAGAAGAAAAAGAAGAAGAGGAAGGTACTATGTGCTTTATGCTCTGATAAGTATATTAGAGATATTGGCTCACTGACCCTTATCAAATTAGCCTATGATGTTATTCTTTTTGCCACTTTATAAATCAAGAAACTGAGATCTAAGGGGCACCTAGGTGTCTCAGTTGGTTAAGTATTTGACTCTTCATTTCAGCGCAGGTTATGATCTCATGGTTCATGGGGTAGAGCCCTGTCTGTGTTGGCTCTGCAAGGAGCCTGCTTGGGATTCTCTGTCCCTCTCTCTCTGCCTCTTCCCCACTCACATTCTCTCTCTCTCTCTCTCTCTCTCTCTCTCTCTATCTGTCTGTCTGTCTGTCTCTGTCAATAAATAAACTTTAAAAAAAGGAAACTGAGATATAAAAAGTAGTTGAGTGATTTGCACAAAGTTACAGTGCTCACAAGTGGGAAAGCCAAGGTGCGGAGCCACACATTGGCAATTGCAAAGCCTGAGCTCTTAGTGATACACTGCGTGTCTCCTTGACAGAGGAGAAAATGGAGACCTTGTTAAAACATAACTCCCATTATATGACTTAGGTGATGGAGGAACAAAGCAAAGACTCCAGCAAAGGTCCAGGACCGCTCATTCACGGTTTCTTCCGCTTCAATTTCACCACAGTGCCTCGTCTTATAGTAAATGAGGTGTTACTGTCTCATGGAGAAGTCAGACATAGTAGCCTTGATGGCAGAAAGTGGGAACCAGCCTGCCTGGTTAAGGGGAAGACTGAGGGAAACCTGTGCAATCTCTTCTCACCCCAGCAGCTTGGCATTATCAGGCCCAGACCTGATTTACTGTCCAAGCACCTGACAGCCATTTGCTTTGCCAACCTTATCTGAATGTCTTAGGACCATGCAGGCAGAAATTTGGAACATCATAATCCTGTGTCACGATTGAATAAAAGGATGAAGAGATTAGATCTGTCTCTAGGAATGCTACTAGCAGTCGGAAAGAATTATGTGGCTCTTAAAGTATTCAAACAACCACAAAGGCAGAAAAAAAAAGGGGGGGAGGGTAAAACTTTTTTTTAGGAAATCTTTCTCAGAAGGATTGAGACAGATGGATGTGTTTTGACCTTGTCTTTTTGCATATGAGCTTCGTTGTGTATCTCCTCACAGTTTAGGTTTTGTTCAGGGCTCATTCACTCAGCAAGCATTTATTAAGGTTTCTTTCATATGCTAGCTACAGTGATAGTTTTTTAAAAAAACATTTAAATGCCATCAGTTAATATTTTGCAATTGATGTCACTAATAACGCGATTAATGAAAAGTCTCATTATTTGTTGAGTGTCTACTAGCATGCGAAGAATACATGAGGTTCTCTTTGTGCCTTTGTGCATGGCCTTTAACCCATGCGACATTATCATCCCTGTTCTGCAGCAACCCATCTATAGTCCTGCAGCTGCTGACTGCACAAGAAAGATTAGAATCCAGTTTGGTCTGACTCCAGAGCTTGTTGAATTTTGTTTTCCTGCCTCTTAGGAAGCTAATGATCTGATAGAATCTTTGCTTCCTCCTCCATTTATATTCTATCCTTTGGAGAGTTTCAGGGGCCTCAATTCTTTTTTCTTAATGCTTTATCCTAAAATTCAGTTTCATATGCCAGTGACATAGTAGGGGTTCAGTAATTATTTGTTGGAATTTTGATTCGTGATGATGACTTCCTCATATGTGTGTGGATGCTAAGTGTGAACCTAGTACATTTGATTCTGAATGGGATCCACCTAAATTAGTGGCTACAGAGCGGTCTACGCATTAGAGTATATCTGAGATAAGTACCTTTCCAAGTAACAGTGAGGGGTAGATTGTAATTTGCTTGAAAAGCTGAAACTCTTCTTTAGAATTTATGATTTCAGGGTAGACCACTTTACCTTGTCACAGAGCCTTTTTTCAGAGTGCTCTATTATCTCTTCTGTAGTCTTTTGCATGTAATCTCTCCAAGGTAAGCAAACATTGATAGAATTTTACCCAAATGAATGTGACAAAATATTATTGAATCTTTTCGTAAAAAGAAAACCTGTTTTCATTTATTACATCTGCCACATTTACAGTACTGCTGTCATGTAACATAAATTTAACGTAAGACTCCCATGTTCCCAAATAGACATATGGCGTTATGTTTTATGATACACAGATGTGCGGGAGAGGCTATGAAAGAAATAAACAAT